AGCTTGAATATTACTGAGTGTATAGCTGGAATATTGCTGAGTATATAGCTGGAATATTACTGAGTGTATAGCTGGAATATTGCTGAGTATATAGCTGGAATATTACTGAGTGTATAGCTGGAATATTGCTGAGTTGTGGCGTTAAATAACAAGCAAAAAAAAAACTGACAATAAAACCTTTCTTGATCATCTCTGCTAGGAGAGTGGGAAGCCGCCCATACAATATGCGCCATAGCAACAGAATTTTAAGAACGCGATCTGTATTAGTGAGATGAAACAAGAACAGATCAACTTGAAGCACGTACAAATTGTCTGTGTGAAGTATCCACATTAGCTAGTAACATAAAACTGGCACAGGTATCAGCAAAACAATCTTGAACGCGACGCCCAACCTCAGTTCATCTCAAACTTGAAGCGTCTGTAAAAGGTCACACCAACGCCCCCTGATCGAAGTCACATTACCGCTAAATATGATTCTGCTGATACGTTGTTGCAATTGGTTGTATTGTTGGATTTTACCTTCACTGCAAATATGATGCAGTTATCCCATTATACCGTCTTCAACAGAGAGTCTTTGTACATTTGATAAGGGCACACAATTTACTATTTTTTTGCAGTTTACCAGGCAAACGAAAGTACACACCGATGTTCTATTCTTGTTGGAAATAATACAAACATGAAATAGTTTCCTATGCTGAATGAATGTTATTCGGTCATCATGGTTGTGTTTTCGGCTTTTAGCTTGCAGTTGTTTTGGTGACTTTTCTCCGCCGAGTAACGTTTTGATATCATGTAATCACATTTTCAAATGTATATTTTGTAACATTTGTCATGTTCCGGATTACACTTTCGTAGTAAAGTACAGACAGTAAGTACTATTTTTGTAGGTTGAGTCCCATTCGGGGTTCTAACCCACACTCTCAGAGTCTCAGTGTAAGCTCATATATAACATATGCTACAACTAACTACTTTCTACATGACACTGTGTATACAAGTATAGTTTCTATTGCTCTATAGTTTAGAAATCAGGACCTAGATTTTCGAAGCTCTTCTAGTGTTAAGATAGTCGTAAGTCCCATACATTAACATTAACTTACGACTATCTTAGCTCAAAGAGAGCTTCGAAAATCTAGGTCTGCATACTAAACATCGTCAGTAAGGGGAGAAATTCTTGGTGTTCAAAGCCCAAATATGTCTTGGTCAACATTAATATTAATAGCATTAAACGGTCTCGTTATTTTTGTGGTAGTTGTAGTTCTTAGATGTGAACTGTTTTAGCCTGATACATACATTGTAATGTATATCATGTTAAGACTCATTGTTCACAATCTTTAAAGGAACAGTTGAAAAGCGTTCATTTTAGCGACGTCTCCCTCCTTTTAAACACGAACTGGCAGTGAGTAAACCAATACTCAACACAGTTTGCGTCTATTCCTGACACCAGACCTTGTCTATTTCTAGACAACAATGACAGTGAATGTGTAAAATGTCAACGTTCCATTATGCAGTCACCTAGCAGCCTTTTCAACACAAACAAGATCAGTATGATTTCTCAGTTTTATTGGATAACTAAATCAAATGTTTACTTATAATCAGCATCGTACGCTAACAAAAAGTTATATAAGTATAAGTATGTAAGTATAATTTTAGAAAATGGAAAAGCTATTAATTATCATGTATTTAGAGATGACCTCGAGATGAATAATGTTTACAAACTATTAAAACATCAATAGGATCATTATTGGATTGATAAATAGAAACGACAAAAACCTTTCCACTTTCTTAACAAATCTCTGCTAACAGCAGAGTCTTTTGCAAAATGGTGACTTTAACATGAATACGTGTTGGTTTGACGCTGCATTCAGCAGTATTACAGCTGTGCGACGCTGTCTGCAAACAATCGACCACCTGCAGTAGAAATTGGAATTGGAATTGGAATTGGTCAAACAATTGTAATCAGGGCACAATTGTAATAAGTGTACCCTGGACTGTAAGTAGCACTCTGGTAGATCAGGAAATGTGCACATGTGTGTGTTGTTGTGAGAGAGTCTAATTGTGTATTGAAAAAATAACAAAAACAAGGTATTTCCTGTTAGCAAGTTTTCAAACATAGTGTTGTAGTAAGTTATAATGACATACGTGCATGAAACATGTACAATACGCAATGTCTACTCTCTCCAATAAATATGCTCAGTTGGACACCGCTGTAAAAGGAAAATGCTGTGTTCAAGATTCCAGAGTCTCTATTATGGAATAGGTGTTCCATGGTCTAGAGCGCAATAGCTGTATGCATCGTTGCGTTTGTGGATCTCGCCCTATCGATGTACACTCATTCAAAGATATTTAATGTAATACATAATACGTAATACAATTTTAATTCAATTTACCAACATTCCCCTTTGGATGCAAAGTAAGAAATAAGATTATTGAAAGTGATTTGAAGGAGGTTATTTTAATGAACGTCTGGCCAGAAGGATGTTTGTGTGATGAACATATTTCTACTTTGCTCAAGAAAACAGACAAAAAGAGACAAGTACCAAAATGTTACCCCTGAAAAACTACTTGATCGAAATAGTCAACATCAGCTTTCGCATTGTTTTGACTCATATTTTTGTATTTTTAATCATGAGGGAGAAAAATGCCAATAAGCAAAAATATACACTCTAATCAAAACTACATTTTACATACAGCTCCTACAAAATATAATATGACAGGAAAACTGAGCTGGTAGTGTACTGTAATCCATCTATATATCATCATCTACACATCTCTGGTTAAACATTGCTATGAAACCGTTAGTGTTTCCAAAATATTGTGTCATCCAGAACTAATCTAAACCTGTTTGACATGTGGAACACAATCTAAATCCCGAATCACATGATGGGATATTACTGTTTCATGACAAGTGTTGAGGTAACGCACACGAATATGCCCACACCAGAATGTTAAACATCTACTAAATAGTTTATACATAGGTTATAACATTGCGGCAAACGGCACTTGTAAGTGCTCCTTTTCGCAGATTCATAAGTCTTCTGAAGAATACGACGTGTGCTTTCCTGCAGATTCTTTGTGTGTATACCGCCACGTTTGACTCCTGCTATATAAAATGGATGTCTGCAACGGTCTTTAAAGACATATCTGTAGACATTTTCATAAGCTGAAATATCGGAAAACATGACTGAAAGGTTTGTTTGAAACTCGCCATAGAAATATATCGCGGGTGAATTTCACAAAATGTATGTCTAAAACAGTTCATATTCAACAATTAGTTTAAGTCGTTAGTCATAAGTAAAATTATAATAAAAGAAGTATAATTTTGCTTTCATTTAACAAAACAATAACTCACATGTATATACATACATACGATATGAATAAGACAATGTGTTGCCTGTAACGGGGATTAAGTTTATCACAGACAGTCCGGTAAACAATGTACAGGTTATTATTAACAGAGGTCAAACTAAACGTACAAATATGTGTATGATCCAGTATTGTGCAGGCGCAAGCACTATGGTCATCAGACATTGCTATAGGATTCAATGTAATTAAATTGCTGTGAACATGCACAGATACAGCCAAAACTGCAGGAATATACAGGTGTCATTAATGTGTTAATCATAGAGTAAACAAAGACGGATTTTCATCCACCGCACAGATATAATATATTCCGATTTATTTATCCAAGTGCCTTTAATATGCTGAAAATGATAGAGTAAACAAAGACAGACTGTTATCCACCGCACAGATGTAAACATTTTCCCATTTTGTTATACAAGTGTCTTTAACTTGCTGAAAATCATAGAGTAAATAGTAACAGATTTTCATCCAGAAAAATTGTCCATTTTTTATACAAGTGTCTTTAATATGCTGAAAATCATAGAGTAAACAAAGATGGATTTTAATCCACCGCACAAGTATCAACATTTTCCAAAAGATTTGTTTTATACAAGTGCCTTTGATATACTGAAAATCATAGAGTGAACACAGACGGAATTTTATCCACCGCAAAAATATAAACAATTTCCAAAAGTGTTTTATGCAAAAATCATTGTTCAGCAACATACTGTCAATTACATAAGATCCCCATGTATCGGAGAGTATCAACTGGAAAGAGCTTCATTGCGTGTTTGTGGATGTCTGAACGAATCCGTTGCATTTTGAAGTTGATTGATGTGTTATAGGCATGAGATTACAATAATTGCTACAATAATAGATATACAATTGACATTATTAATAACAGGTGATTAAGAGGTAATAAGATACAAATTATGATAGGATTTAATAATATATTTAAGATATGAAGTGATTAATAATGTTGTAAGGTAGGAAGTCAGTAGCGGAGGTAATAAACATGAAAGTAGGTCGTTGGAGCTGATGGGGGCAAGGTGAGGTGACTCATAGCTTAGGTAAGGGGAAAACTACTATACTATCAAGATGGAGCAGCGTGGCCGGGGAGCTTGGTACCAGTTCTTGGTATTCTACAAGTCATATATGGTTAGGGGAGAGAAACTCTGAAATGCCTCAAAACCACCTCACAGTCTTACAAATATGGTATTGGGGGTACGAAATAGAGGTGGGGGAGAGTAATTGACAGTCAGGTTATGGGTTATTGACCAATGGAGAAAATGGAGAAGGGTGTTGGCTGTGACGTAGGAACCCAGCTTTAAGCTGGAACAAAGCTCAGAGACGGGAGTCTGGCGCTAGCCTACTCTTGATGTTTGGTCACTAGGAATCGTCTCAGAAATTATCTTGAAGCACCAGCATTTGGCTTAAGACTGAAGCTTTGCGGCTGAAGTCTTATAGAGTGACCATAGAGTAGGTTGACCAGCAACACAGTGTCAATAAAACTATTGAACGAAGATCATCGTCTTGTGATTGCTGGAGGAACTACGGTAAAGTTCCAAGGGCCCCCGGGTACTGACACTGTACCTCTCGCACATCCCTTATCGTCAGGACCGAAGTACGGGGGTATACCGTAGTTCAGGTAACGACACACCATCCCAGGTGTGGGATACTGGCAGGTAAACACCATCTACCTGCCAGGTAAAGGTGCTGTCGGAACGCCTTGGAAAGATGTGTTCACACGTGTCCCCGAGACACCATACAAACAATATCATTATTTGGAATACTAAAAAAGAAATGTCTTAGCTCTCTATAATTGGCATATCAGCGTTCATACTCATTCTCATAATCCTTGAATATCAATTGCAACTTCTGAAAGTAATGACGCCACCCATTTGATCCCACTTTTAACACGTGTGCCAGTTCCTCTGGTGTTTTCTTTATGGAACTTATATATTTGCGTTGAATAATATTCCACCTCTGTTTGGGGGATTTAACAAAACAATATCATTCACTTATATTATGTTTGGATTATTTTTGTAAATAGAACTTGAAATATAATCAAGAGTCTACTGTTGAATCGTGCGTGTACAAGATATACAGATGTAAGATTATGTAGGTAGTTTCTGACAATGAATTATCTCTAGATCTGTACCGACACTTTGTCTAAGAACCTACAAAGGTCACCGTTATATGAGTGTTACATTCATTTGTATCGTGGGAAATAACAGAATTGGCTTCGGCAAAATTATGCCTATGCATCTTACACAAAATATTACTTGGCAGTAATAAATGTCACATGACTGAGATTAAATTAGTCTCACGCCAACCCGGACTATGGCAATTATGATAACGTTTGTTATTTCTGCATTTACAGGCCTATAAATAACAAACACATATCGATGATTTATATATAGTTCATGCTTTGATTTCAGATAAATGCATTTCCGATAACTTTGGAAAATATAGTCTTGATCCTTATTATAAAATCTTTATATGAAGTCAGACAATTTGTATCTGATGTTACAACGTTAAAAGTTGAGATGAAGCATGCGCTAAATTATCGTTAGAATTTTCATAATTGTTATTTATATCATGATAAGATTTATGTTCGTTTTGCATATTAAAACGATGACGATAAATATGATTACCAATACAATAAACAAATTTCTGACAATTATTTAATTTGTAGTTTGACTGCAGTGATCCAAAAGATACACAATATTTTGTACAGAGGTAATATTCCTTCTACAGTCCACTGTAGTTTATTAGAATGCGAAACAAAGATGCACCTGCCACCAATCAAATGTTGCGCAAATTGCTGCCGTCGTGTCTCTCACTTGATGGAAGTGATACTCTTCTCCTTCTGCCCAAGCTTGAACCCTGAGATGAGTGTAGTCAGTATGAAGCAGATGGCTTTGTGATAGATATCAGCCATGTGGGCGGAGTATCTGTCCCCGAGTGTCTCCTTCACTGCCATGAGGAATGGTTCCCGGATGAGCTAGAGGAAAATGAAGCATTTGAGTTGGAACATGACACTAAGGAGTGACAAACTAACACATGAGACATAAGTCTGCATATTTGAGATAAAGATAAGGACAAACTGTATGGATGAACAATGTCAACTTGCCTGATGTAACGCAAATTGCGCTTGCTTGACAACGATATAAAGAATATATTTATTCACCTGAATAAAGAAGTTGTTAATCCAAAAGGTTTGTCCTTATCTGACTCAGCAACTGCCAAAAAAGCCACTCCATATTATAGTCTCCATATTTCAGTTTGTATTTTCTGGGGGCAGTTGTACAAGAACGCCTAAAAACCGGGTCCAATTCCCCACATGGGTACAATGTGTGAAGCCCTTTTCTGTTGTCCCCCGCCGTGATATAAATAAAGTGCCGGAATATTGCTAAAACGGCGTAAAACTAAACATGCTCACTCACTCATTGCATTTGCTGCTGACAGACCTGTAGTGAGTGGGTTGGGTTTTACGTCACTTATTCCAGCAATATCACTGTAGCATGTCTGCAGTCATTTGTAGAATGAAAAGGAATAATCCAATATTGTTCATTCATACTTTAGTGAGTGAGTCGGGTTTTATGCCGCTTTTACATATTCAAGCAATGTTACGGGCTTCACACACTTTCCTCATGTGGGGAATCGAACCCGGGCCTTCGGCGTGAAAATCTTAAAATCTTGGGTTTTGTAGCTGTTAATTGCTTTTTCTCAACTCTTCAATATTCCGGCTAGTCAACAACATGAGTATCGATCCATTGGGATACGATGCCATGTGTCAACCAAGTCAGCGAGCCTGACCACAACAAGCATGGGTTGCAGAAGACCAATTCAAGCCCGGATCTTCATGGATCTTCATGGGTCCATAATTTCAGGGCATACATGGGTTGCAAAATGAATTGCATAAAGACATGGCAGTACCCTTTGTTGGTCGAAAGCAGTCGCTCATAAATTGTGAAATCACGAGATAAAGACGAAATTACATCCTGACTAGACTATTGACATTTAGGCCTCTGGCGGGATACTGGGAATCACATCAGAACGTTTACATGACAATTAGATGGACATCTTCATGGATTATATATGTCACGACCTAAGACATCACGCTGGTTCTTTATCGTGTCTTTACAGTCCAAATGGACATTCGAGTGAACGAAAACGAGCGTTAATAATTATCACGATACACGAGTTTTTATCTTACTTAAGGAATATCATTCGCAAGCGTTTGCTTTTCTTTATGATTTGTTCCGACAAGAATACAAGAAAATAATATGAAGAGGAACCGTCACGTTTAGTCATACATATACATGGGTAAGCTTTTGCACTAGAGAAATATTGGTTTTCTGGACATGGTCAGATGAATGATGAATGAATAATAGTATGTTTAAGAGTGAGTTTTCGGGTTATATGACGTCATGTAAACTTATAATGAATGGATACGTGAAATCTTGTAGTTCTAAGACGTTCGCAACTTTGGTTAAATCTGCGGGCAGGAATATGGTGCAGAGAAAACTAAACAATAATCACCCGAATTAATCAGGGATTATAACCGACGAGTTTAGGATTCTGGCACGCAAGATGGACACAAAATCAGATGTCAACAAGTGCCTTGGCTTCAAGATCCCCTTGCTAATTAAAAGTATTCTGTCCATCCTTACGACAACAAACCCGTTGTAAGAAGCGAATATCCAATACAGCAAATTTCATCAACATCAAAAATCGATAAAAGAATAGTTATCTTGCTGCAAAATACTACAAGTGTCAGTTTTGAAAAATAATCTTTTACTTGTTTCATTTATTTATAACTCGAAAAGGATTACGATATGTAAGCATGATGCTATTATCTAAACTGTAAACCAATCAGCATCCACGGATGTAAACATGGACATTTGCTTGTTGGAGTGTTGCTTAACACTGTATCAACATTACAGCTAATAAATACTCAAATCAGGCCCAGAAAATTCAGTAAATGACAGTATCGATCTACTAAATTGGGATACGATCCGTTTAGGAATCAGCAAGCGGACCCATTTTGTTTTTGGGTAATTCATGTTTTTTGCTTATTGTCCCCCAAAGGGCAATTGTTTTGGCTCTTTCCACCCAATTACACATTCTCCTTAAACCAATCGATATTCGGCCCATAGCTGATCAGCTTGTTCACATAGGTGCCGTAGTCATCATTGTTGTGACGAGATGGCGTCTTCTTTCCTGTACACGACAGTACTTTCAGCTTAACGTAAGACGATTGCGGGGAATATAGTTTATTAATCACGTGTAGCAATCGTCCAATGTCAAGTTCAAGCCTTGGGAAAAATCCATGTAATTCGCGAAAGGCAGTCATTAACGATCTTGATCTGTGCAATATGGGCAATGCATGTGGTTAGTAACCACAATGTTTACTTAGCAACGAGTGTAATCGCAGCTGACATAATATTTGAATTCTAATACGCTAATGTAATGAGTGATGTCGTGATAAATAGAGAACAGGAAACAATTGCCATGACAACTTCCAAAATACATTGTACATTAACACTGATTAACATAGCTGGAAATTCTTATTTGATCCGACAGGCTGCTGATAAATCGCAGTTAAATTAAAAACTTTCTAAACTAAAGAACAGGGGAACTACTTTAATATGGAAAAAGCAACATTCTGTGAATGCTATCATAAACCTTCACTCGCAAGACACTGAACATGTGCGGAAATGTTTTGGTTTGGTTGTTGTTTTACGCCGCACTTAGCAATATTCCAGCTATATGGTGGAGGTCTGTAAATAATAGAGTCTGGGCCAGACAATCCAGTTTTCAACATCATGAGCATCGATTTACGCAATTGGGATACGGTGTCATGTGTCAACCAACCAGAGAGTCTGACCACCCGATCCAGTTAGTTGCCTTTTACGATAAGCATGGTTTGCTGAAGATCAATTCTAACCGGGATCTTCACGGGTCCATAATTTCAAAGTCAACCACCCAATTGTAACAAAACAATGCTTGTAAGAGACAACGAGAAGCCTCGGTGGTCAGACTCGATGGCAGATTGTATGATTACGTGTCATATACACCGCTGGAATCTGTTGTTACTAACGCTGCCCCTCTCAGGTTTATCTTGTCCAGATTCGATTTCTTATACACCACTGCTATCAGGCTCCAGTAGTGATGATTATACCACATTTACTCGCTCAACTTTTTCAGAAAGGTGATGAAATGATATTAATCGTTTTAAAGTCAATCTAAAATTAAAAAAAAGAATACATATCTTACCCAAAATATTTCGGGATCAAACTTATTAAAACGCAAGTGTGTTTTCCCAACGTGCATAAGCATATCGATGACAAAGTCCGGCTCATCAAGCGACATCATTGCCTCATCTATTGTCAGCATCACTCCGCGCACGTGACTCTCCAGCAGTCCGCTCTCGCGTAGTTCCGTCAAGGTCACGTCTTTGTTGATGGTACTGAAGAAGTTCTTCACACTCTCGTTCTGCTCGAAGAGACTGGAAAACGGAAAGGAGTGAGTGAGTTTGGGTTTTACGCCGCTTTTAGCAAATATTCCACCATGTGGGGAATCGAACCCGGGTCTTCGGTGTGACAAGCCAACACTTTAACCACTAGGCTACCCCACCATCCCCAAAACAGAAAGGATATATTGCAGCGAGAGACTTGTGACTAAGGACATACGTCTCATATCACTTGAGAATGGGTGTTTACATGGTCAAATATTATTAGATCATTTTGTAAATTTCCGGATAAATACTTGATTAATATTTATTAATAATTAATTTAGAAATCAGTTCACAAAAAGATTAAATAAAACCAGCGTCCCAGGCAGATACAGAGTGGGCATGTCACAAGATTAGAAATATCAGTATAAAGCGACACATTCATTTCAGGGCCCCGTTTCACAAAGCTACCATAACGCTACGACTGTCGTAAACCTATGTTACAGTACAGGAGATACGGCAGTCGTAGCGAAACGATAGCTTTGTGAAACGAGGCCCTGGTCTATATGTGCGATGATTTCTATGACAGAGGCGTACGTGCAGCTTTTAAATTATTACCATCAATTAATAGGAACATATACAGTAGGGTGTCCATGACACATTCCTAATCATTACTAGTTGTGACGTCTCTCATGGGAGTCTTCATACAGCAGTTGCTGATGCACATGCAGGATTGATGTGGGACACAGGGGAGTAACCTAGTGGTCAAATATCTACGTGGTATAATGTGTGAAGCCCATTTCTGGTGTAGCCGTGATATCGCTGGAATATGGTTGAAATCGGTGTAATCTCAATCTCTAAAGTATAGATGACATTTGAATGTATTTCACTAAATTATTTCATGTCATTTACTGCAAATGAATGCAAACATGGCATAGGAAAGGATTATGTTCAGTTAAAAAGATCAATTGCCGAAATGACTTCGCGAGTTGCAACCTACAATAATGCCCTTATCCTGCAGTTTGTTTTGGTTTGATTGTTGTGTAGCGCTGTTGTCAGCAATATTCCGCGCTGGTCAGAGGAATCTGTGGCCGATATGCGCAACGAATCACACCAGATAGGGTGCATGCATGATGGCGGGCAATTTAACTCGCCGATAACGACAAACATTGTTGGGGACGTTTTCTAGCCTGGTCTCCATGGGGGTTAGCGCTAAAACTGACACTCCATCGCCTTTCGTAATACTCAAAAACGACGACGACTGAAATACAACACATCGTTATAAATAATAAATATTGCTTTGGACACATATGAATGAGATTGTAAATTACTTCACATTAGTTTGTTCAATAAACGCGTTATCAAGTACAAGTACCTGATAATTGTTTTTGAACAATAATAGTAAGAAGAATGAAAAAGTCACGAAGACAGGTGGAGCTTTCTTCTGTTGTGGACCGTTACTAAATACGAAAAAAGAGTCTCACCTCAGTCATGAATGCATTTTGTATCTACCCCCGTGCTTTTCCACGCTCAAGGACAATCAAGAATTTATATATTCAGTAGTTTGGATAGTTACTCTATCGCTGCGCAATCGGAATTTGAAAAAGGCATGGTTAAATGTATTGGACATGATAGCAAACCTCATAAACATAGTGATGCCGGTCTCGTCCATGTTTCTTGCTATTGCCTTCCATGACCTCTTGAGGAGGTACACTTGACGACCTGCAATGGGTATCCGCGGGTCATCTTTTACTATTACCCGACTCTGTGATTTCGAAGGTTTGGATTTGCCATTCATTTCCTGACCATTCTTGGAAGAAACTGCTCCGGAAGCAGAGCAACCCATTGCCACTGTAGGCTGTTGTTTGTCAATGCTCTTTAATAAGCCAAGTAGAATCTTGCGTATGGAAATCTGCAAGGATATGTTTCAAAATTAAGACGCTTTTGGAAATGTGTGGGGACTTAATGAAAAAATGGCGTGTTAATGTTCCAATAACAGCATTTCCCAAATGTATATGTCATCAAGCTCTGACCTTATATACATATAGAACGTCAGTGCAAAGGAATACCCGGTCTTGACTAGCCTCAGAAACAAACTTCGTTTGTTGTGAAAGGAAATTGTATGAAGGGATCGCTAAAACTATGTTTTAACACATTTTCAAAATGTTCGCGGAAAGGGTAAGCATGTCATGGCTCACCAGTGGTACCCGCCATCCACAAAATTTGCCTAAAAATGGACGTATTTCTGCCTGACACTGCACGAAGGTACCCCTGCAATGCCACGAGAGTCAATCAAGTCATCGATGGACCTGATAGTCACATTTAAGTCCTAGTACTAGCAATAATGATGAAATGTTCAGTCAAACTTTATAGACCCGTGAAGATCCGGGTTAGAATTGATCTTCAGTAACCCATGCTTGTCGTAAGAGGCGACTAACGGGATCGGGTGGTCAAGCTCACTGACTTGGTTGACAAATGTCATCGTAACCCAATTGCGTAGATCGATGCTGTTGATCATTGGATTATCTGCTCCAGACTCTATTATTTACAGAGTGCCACCAAATACGAGTAGCTCAAATATTGCTGAATGCGGCGTAAAACTAAACTAAACTGAACTCAGTCACTCAGTCAAACTTTACCGATATGAGGTCAAATATGACGTTGAAATAGTGACATTTTTACAAATTAATATACTCACGGTTAAAGACTACACTGAATATGCCTATGTTAATAACAGGGTCTCCAGAAGACAAGGAGCTGTTGTACAGGAACACACTTCTTCTGTGCTGAAGATTCAGTGCCGTACAAATAGAGTACAGTTGAAACATGAACAATCTCAGCCGCTCCTATGTGAAAGAATCGCAAAGCTTATAACGTCTTACGACTTTAGAAAAATCAACAGTCTCACTACAACATACACTGTTCATGACAGGTCAAACAGGTCTAATGAAGTTGATCGACGGTTAAATTAGTGTATTTCATGGTTAAATCAGCAGTAACGGGACTGCTTCCAATTTGTGTCTTTTTTTGCAGCGTGTTAAGCCTTTCTAACACAGATCAGATTTGAAGCGCGGTATTACGTCTCAACAAAATTGACATTGTGATGTCTATAATAAGTTGCGAGGAAATTAGTTATTAAATGTCTTTTAGGGCATACTTCTCCGGGAGTCCAATATGGCCGTGAACCGCTATATGTAGCCCCTCCCTGTTCTTTTCGCCTATAAAAGACCCCAAATAGATTCTCTATAGCATGGGAAATGTCTTCACATGGAATTAGCTGTTGGCTTAGTTCATTCGTTGTAATTATCCAGGGAAAGAGGGATAATCTGCCAAATCGTTGGAATTAATCAATAAATGCTGTGGGTTAATTTCAACGTTATCACCAAGGGGTCAGGTGTTGAGTGTGTCAATATTACGATGGACAGCGAGTAGATGCTGAAATGTGGTCTTGTCAATTAAAAGGGGAAAGAACTAGATTTCTTCCTGTACCTTGCTACGTATGTTAATTTCACAGGGTCTTGTAAAGCAATGATAGACGTCAAGGCATAAACTGTCACTGACGAGGTCTTAGCACTATATAAAAAGATCGTTTTATATAGGGCTAATAAGACCACTGATCCTTTTACATAGTGTTAACTCCCTGTCAGTGACTTTATATACCTTGACGCCTGTTTTTTGCGTTACATTTCCCTGTGGTCGGTTTCAGGCGGGCTCAATTCCGCTATTAACAGTATCCCAGTTATTACAGAGTGTGGGCTTAATGTTTTGGGAAGGCCGAGACGATGCGGGTCTCGGACGTTTAAAACGTGTGCGAAATCCACGGGCATGGTGACAAACCTGGACACGTATTACGGGTGAACCATCATGCAAGGGAAGCAACTCTGCACACAGATTTGCGGCGCCTTTGGCGACTAAGCCACCTGTGCATCCCGATACGTATGTAAACACTGTGCGAAATAGCCACTGGCCCGCTAGCCCGTGGCTGGTAAAATCCATTCGGGTCAATAAATCTTCACAGTCACAGGTTAGTGAATTTTCATTGGGTCATTTTGTACATATATCACTCTCTCCTACTTGTTAAGTTATAACACACTTTTAAATCATGCATGATTATGGCCGATTAAAACTTTTCACCAATTTCGGGCTAGTGAACTATTTTGGGGTTTGCAACTTTTTGGCAGAGCTATCCCGACTGGCTAGCAAAATTTGGAAACTATTTCGCACACTGTATGGAAGCTTTAATCTCAGTTTAAGGTGTCAGATTCCTCGTATTTGTGTCTTACTGCTCCTGTCCGAAACTGAACTGCATAGGTTATCGATTCATATAGAATGAATGAGTGTGTGTAGCTTAACACCACTTTAAAACAGTATTCCAGTCATATCACAAACTGTCGGCTTGATGTGAGAGGGAAGCCTAGGAGCACCTGTGTGGGGCTGACAGATCAAGATCAGTCATCAGTGTGAACCAAGAATTCGAACCCAGGATCATGGATTCCCGGCTCGTCAAAAGAACCCATCTCAAACTCATTATACCTATTGATTTCAGGTGTTCACTCATTACAGACATAGCATATTCAGCTTCTACACTCAAACCACCCAAGTCCGACTCACAATCCCTGAACCACATTATTTTCCCTACTGCCCAGCCCTCCCTGCAGTGCTAAAGCCCCAAATGAAGCAAGTCTAGATTTCCTTGGGTTCTGAATTTCCCATCTTACTGGGTCTCCTTATCAATTTAAATGGGTTTATTTGTTACTATCAAAATTATATATATATATATATATAGTCAGAGACTAAGCGTTAGTCTATCTAAAACCACCCTTATAATACACTTTGTGTCTTTTCTTCATACCGCGAATGAGACACGAACTAGAAAAAGGCGTGACTCTTGTAGGTTATGTACACCTCGGATGGAGCCGCGGTCAGATTAATAATTCAGTGATACCCCCATTGTCACCAGATTATAATTCATTTTAGGCATATGCACTATATCATTTTCATTATAGAATATTCGGAGCAGGCGGAAGAAGCAGTTGTGCGGAATGGTTATGAAAGATTTCTGTTGCTATTATTGCTATTTCCAATTATACTCTCTGAGATGTCAGAGTTGCACCTGAGGTAAACATGTACCTGAGGTAAACATGTAAGCATGCATACCTCGTGGTAATAGAAGCCAAACATTTAACTGTGTAGATTTTTTTGCGCTAACCTGTTCGTCTTATCAGTAGTTGAGGTATTTGAATCAGCCGCAAAACTGAAAGTATTCGCGGTTCTACTGACCTTACCTGAGAAAGATACAGGTAAATGCAATTACGGTATAAATATATCAGAAAATGATTAAGATTTCATATGTATTCTGTTTCTTACTTTATATCATACACACCACTAACAGTTCCGACTGACATTGTATCGGTTATTACATGTAAGAGGATTCACATGGTATGCAGTGTTATGTTGAAGGATGCTTTCCACCACATAACAGGTACAACATGTTGTGTCTTGAAGTGACAGTTTCAAACGTTCAGAAAATATTTGTACTTCAGGTGTCCTAAACGAAGCCTTGGCTGTTTCCAGTGCTTTATAACCGAATACCATGTAATATATGATATCTATTGTTCACCACTGTCTCCTGCATTAAGCTAAACGTGTTACTTAATTTTTCACTTTCAAAGTAACGAAAACATTACCAACATGGTATTGGAATCAATAGTAAACTCCCGCACTCATCCAGTAAGTAGATATGTTCTATTTTCGACGTAAACCAAACAATGACGTGAATATTTGAGATCATACATACCTTTCACGCCTTCGAGTGTGTTATACGTGTATAATTCCAGTGATATCCTTGGTGGGCGAACGTTCTTACCTGTTGACATTAATTGGGATGTCAGCCACCTTGTGCCTCGAGGGATGAATCAACCAATATTATCACCGGCGATGTGAAACAGTCCCTGGATGGAAAACCAACCTATGAGCGAATGAGTGAGTGAGTGAATGGAGGGCGGGAGGAAGTGTGGGAGTGAGTGCCATGGGTTAAACGGATTTCCTATATATCATTAGTCGTTATTTTGGTGTGTCCAAAGGAAACAGATCCGTACCACGTTGGTGGAAACCGTCGGCATTGGTTGGGTGCTCACAAACCAAAGATCATAACCTTATATCTACCCCTACTGCCACAACACCCTGTAACGTTTAACGGGCGTGTTTCTGCACAGAGAATTGTTGACAACCAGTTCACCCCCAAATCTAGCAATGACTATATCCCAACACTCCTTCTGAATGAAGTCTCATTTATATTGCCAAATGAGAACTTGTTGCCAGGAAATGCATGTACATTATTGATTACCATACTATTAGCATTACTGACGATGAATTGTGCACTTCCAATTCTTCTTGTTCTTGTTCATCATTTTTATTCTGTAATATCTCATGCAGTAACTTATTCTATTATAGTTTCTATTAATAGTATATGATCGATTCCCCGGGCGGATCCCGGAGGCCGGGGTGTGGGGTGGGTGGTGTGGCGGGTGGGGGGTGGTGCAGGGGTGCCACTTTTGTCCTGAAAGTTTATTTAATGACCATTGAAACTCTCGTGAGAACGGTTGAAAATGATCTGTGCACTCCTCCTTTCTCCAAAAGCTTTATCCGCCCCTGGTTTCAGCTTTAGACTCAGCTCTGCATGAACGTTTAAACGGCAATTATGACTTGAAAAGCTGTGTTGTCATACTGAGTGTTTATAAATTATAGTATTTCAAACATTACTTATACCTATAAATAAGTTACATCGAAAAATTATAAACAGTACATGCGTATTCGTGCAACCATTCCTAATTGTACCCTTACCTTTCCGATGTCTTGAAATGGAAAATCGATCGTGTAGTTACAGATACAGGTCCGAATGCCGGGAGCAATGTCTGCACATAGTTTGTACTCGTTTTCCAAACAGTGTCTCTGAACCGTGCATCCTCTGAGTTCTACCCTGAAATCGATGCCAGTTATCTAACCAAGACATGATGATTAGCAATCCTGACGAATAAAGAACTCCCATACACGTTTAATCCTAATACACCTGTGTATACTCACGAGACAGGGACTGATAATTTCCCAGTATCATGACCAATGCGAAAGTAGACTCATTCATTAACGGCCATCATGCCAACGAGTTTCACGCCCTATCTACAGGCATTGATGTGACGTCGGATATATCAAGGGAATGTTAGTTCAAGGGAACTAAATATGAAGGGTTTTTAACTCTGAGGATGGGCGTATGTACTCAGAGGTCCATCCATGTACGACCCAGAATATACACAGGGTGTCCTAGATAATGGTCATGTTATCTACAGATATTAATCTGACGTCGGATATATCAAGGGAACTTTAGTAACCAAATATAATATCAAGGGTGTGTGGGCTTTAACTCTGAGCATGGGCGTGTATACTTAGAGGTCCATCCATGTACGACCAAAAATATATAAACATATATAGACATGTCCATGCCAACAAACCTGACCTTGTAGAATTTTGATAAATGTGTTGAAATCATTTATAATATTAAATGTTATGTCCCTTTTGTCACTAAGGCGTGATTGACAAGATCCAGGAAAAACATGCGGACCTCGCTCACATCCAAACTTGCATCCCAAGTATCAGTTTGTAAGAAGGAGTTTGTTCTTGAAGCCGTAAGTCTGGAAGCTCCCAATCTCATGATGGCCATTCGGAGAGTACCGTGTTTTGCTCCAGTAACACTCTCCTTCTGACAACCCTCTTTAATGTATTCATTTATTGATATCATAATAATAA